CTGACCTGGAACTCACTATGTAGCCCAGGCTGGTCTCGAACTCACAGCGATCCTCCTGCCTCAGCCTCCCGAGTGCTGGGATCACAGGCCTGTGCCGCCACACCTGGCTAGTTAATCTCTTGATTTAGAGTAGTGGCTGTTTCTTTTTTTCTCTGCAGTGCTAGGGATTGAGTCTCGGACCTTGAACATGTTAGGCAAGCACTCTACTACTGAGCTACATCCGGTGCAGCACAAGACCATGTGCTCCACTTTATCTTTTTTATCATGCACATTGGTTTGTCAGTTGAGTTTCATTTTGGCAGATACTGTCCCCACCACCACTCATGCCCCGCCATTTTCTTTTGGTGGGGGGTACTGGGATCAAACTCGGGACCTTTCAAAGTTGCTCAGGCTGGTCTTGAACTTGTGATCCTCCTGCCTTAGCCTTCTGAGCAGCTGGGATGACAGATTTGTGCTACTGCAGACAGCCGAGGTTTTGTTTTTGTTTTTTGAGACAGTATAGTGCTTTGTGTTTCAGGCTGTCCTTAAATTCAGTGTAGCCCAGGCTGGCTTCAAACTTGTGATCCTCCTGCCTCAGCCTCCTTAGTGTTGGGAACACAGCTGTGCACCACTTCGCCTGGTTTGAGCACGTTTTGAATGGGGAGTGTCAGGACTGTACATAGCTGGGAGACATTTTTGGTTTTCACAGCTGAGGGTTTGCTGCTGGTGTAATGGGTAAACACCAGTGGGGCTGGTAAGCATCTCACAATGCACAAAAAATTAGATAGTCCAAGGTGATAATGTTGTATAAGTTGAGAAGCACTTTTACTAGGGCAGTTTTGGAATTTCAACCCAGGAGAACCTATCTTAGCGTAACTCAGTGGCACCATCTGGTGGCCCTGACTGAGCGGAGGCAAAGAGGTGGGACTTCGCCTCCTTCCCAGGAAGCAGAGAATGAGCACAATTCGACTTTGATGTTTCAGGCGAGGACAACCTTTGCAACACACCCCACCTCGCTCCCTGTTCCCCACCAAAGCAAGGCAGGAAGGAGAACGGTCCCCCTCGATCACGTACCCCGAAAGGACGCAGGTTGGTATTTGACGATCAACCTGCAGTGAAGTCGCCCGGAAAAAGCAAACAAGCCAGAGCTCAGCGGAACAGAGTGGGCTCCTCAGTCCAGAAAGGCCAAGAGAGCCCAGGCAGTCGTGAGCAGAGATGCCTGCCCGAGACGGAGCCCACGTGTCTGAGGCTGTTCAAGCGAGCAGGTACAGCAGCTATGAGCGCAGCCTGGGGCGTCTTCTGGGCGCCGTCTGCTGGGCCTGATTGTTCTTCTCTGGCCGACACAGGTACTTGCTACCAGCAAGCGAAGCTCGTCCTGAACACAGCTGTCCCTGACCGGCTGCCTGCCAGGGAGGCAGAGATGGCTGTCATTGGGAGCTTCCTGCGGAAGCACATCTGTGGGAGGAAAGCTGGAAGCCTGTACCTTTCTGGTGCTCCCGGTACTGGAAAAACTGCCTGCTTAAGCCGAACTCTGCAGGACCTCCAGGTGGGCTGAGAGTAGAGGATTCCTCAGCGTGAGCGTTGTTTGTTCATCATCTAAATCTTCCTGGGTGAAAGTAGAGTTTCCTCTGTTCTCTGCTGCCAGCTCTCCAAAACATTTCAGGTCTCATCAGATCTTTCTCTGGGGCCAAAATAACTCCCGTGTTTGCATTTTTCTTTCCAGAAGGAAGTGAAAGGCTTTAGGACCATCATGCTGAATTGCATGTCCTTGAGGAGCGCCCAGGCTGTCTTCCCAGCTATCGCTCAGGAGCTTGGTCAGGAAGAAGCGGCCCGGCCAGCTGGGAAGGACATAATGAGAAGACTGGAAAAGCAGATGACCTCTGAGAAAGGCCCCATGATGTAAGCGTTGCTGTGGGGTCTGTGGCCCGAGAAACGCACACACCCAGTGCCTGCTATGAGAGGTGCTTATGGAAACTTGAGGGCTTTAAAGTAATTGCTTACAGCTGGAGGTGAGCACGTAGCTCAGCGCACAGTGCGTGTGTGGGAAGCGCGAGTTTGATTCCTGGTACCAAAAAGAAAATATACATAAAATAAAGTAAGTGTTGCAAGCAAGGAGGCTGAGGCAAAAGGATCACCATGAGTTCAAGGCCAGGCTGGACTACATATTGAGACCCTTGTCTCAAAAAAATAAGGCAGTTGCTTGAGAAGCCCTAGGTTGTGATTGTTCACTTGTTTGAGATGGTGGCTACTGTTTCACCAGGGACTAGAGATAGGACCGGAAGTGACCTTCACTCCGACCTGCAGTCTAATTGCATCTCTCTCCTTGCAGTGTGTTGGTGCTGGATGAGCTGGACCAGCTGGACAGCAAAGGACAGGATGTGCTGTACACACTGTTCGAGTGGCCATGGCTCAGCAATTCTCGATTGGTGCTGATTGGTCAGTGCTCGCTTGCTAGTGAACTATCTTCTTGTCAAATTAGACAGTATATAAAATGCAGTAGTTTTAACCTAGGGCAGATCAGTCTTGTTAGGTCAGAGTAAAAATGACATAGGAGCTGGGCATGGTGTTGTGTGCCTGTAGTCTCAGCTACTTGGGAAGCTGAGGCAGGAGGATCACTGTTTCAGAGCCTGGGCAATGCAATGAGACCCCCGAGTCTTACAAGGGCTTAGAATGTAGATCAGTGGTAGAGCATTTGCCTAGCATGTCCGAGGCCCCAGGTTCAACCCCCAGAACTGTAAAAAATATTAATGAAAAAAAGTAAATGACACAGAGACTAGGGTTGTGACTATGCATGTGCTTAGCACATTTGAGGAAGCCCAGCTCCACCCTGACCCCCAAAAGTGTGTGTGTATGTGTGTGCGTGAGGGTTTTGTTTCGTGTTTTTTTTTTTGTGACAGTCTCACTGTTTGGCCGCAGCTGGTCTCAAACTCCAGTAACCTCCTGCCTCGGCCTCCCCAGTGCTGGGATTACAGGTGTATAGCACCACACCCAGCAGAAATACACATACACAGTACAGTGGACCCTCGAGTTGCTGCTGGCCTGACCTACAAATAACTTGGGTTACTTCTGGAATTTTAGTTTTAACTTATGAACAAAGCCTTGATTTATGACTTGGATGCTGACCACTTGTGCTTCCAGATGGTCTCAGATACAGATTTAGCCCTTAAAGACCTCTGCAAGGAGCATTTACAGTGTCCTCTCCTATGTGGGGTTCACTGAGGAATCCTGGGCCAGCATCTTTAGGACGCTGAGATCCACCTGTGTGCAGGAGAGAGACTTGGAGGGTCGTGTGGAGGAGTCTGACCCTTCACTGACCAACTTGAGTTACAACCAGCCCTCGGGAATGAATTGAGTTCATAAGTTAAGGGTCCACTGTGTATTAAGTGTATATGTGTGTATAAAATGCTACAGAAACTGTAGGTTTTTGGCTCAGGTGAACAATTCCAACGCAAACTTGAGTGCTGTCTGTGTTGGCTACGCACCGCACATCTCAGCTGTTGCAATGGGATGGACGGAAATTGGGACCCCGGGTTCTCTCTAGAAGTTTGTCTGTGCATTTGTCTGTTTGTTTTTTCCTTTGCAGAAGTTTGCTCTTTTCTCCTAGGCGATTCACCTGATGCTGATCTGTGCTATTTATCCCTTCCCCAGGTATTGCCAATACCCTGGATCTCACAGACAGAATCCTGCCCCGGCTGGAGGCAAGAGAGCACTGTAAGCCGCAGCTGCTGAACTTCCCGCCTTACACTCGCAGTCAGATAGCTGCTATCTTACAGGACCGGCTTCATCAGGTGAGCGCCCGCCACTCCGCTCCCTGGGTCACCCCTGTCACCGACACCTGGCAAGAGTTTAGGAATATTTTGTTTTGATTGCTTTGCTAACGCAAGGGGTATTTCCTGTGGATCATAGCGAGAAGACTTTTGTGTTAATTTCCACACATTCCCCATTTATTGGATGCCTTGGTGTGGAAAGAAAAGTGGGCGAGCTGGCTGTAGGGGCACAAGCCTGTAATTCCAGTACAAGTCCCTACCTAATCCCAGCACTCAGGAGACTGAGGCAGGAGGATCACTGCATGTTCAAGGCCAGCCTGGGCTGCACAGCAAGACCCTGTCTCAAAAAGAAAAAGGAAAAAGTAGGAGATAGAATTATTCCTAGTGGTTTTTGTTTTTGGTACTGGGGATCAAACTCAGGACCTTGTACTTGCCAGGCAGGCTGCAGAACCACTGAACTACATCCCCAACCCTATTTCATGTTTTCTTAATGACCTATAAAATATAGGGCCTAGGAAAAAACTTTTTCACTGTGATTGGATAGATTTTTTTTTTTCTAGTACTCGGGATTGGACTCCGGTACCTGGAGAGCACTGAGCCACATCCTTAGCCCTTTGTCAGTATGTTTTACTTTGAGACAAGTTCGTGTTAAATTGTCCACACAGACTGTCTCAAAATAAGAAGGAATAGACATGTAGCTTAGTGAGTGGTAGAATGCTTGCCTTGCATGTCCATGTCTGGGTTCCATTCTTGGTACCAGGGAAAAACAGTAATCTTTCAAACTTGCTCATTTAATAGTAGTGTTCCTTAAATAAGTCTTGCATTTCACAAACAATAAGTAAATAGACAGCCATGCTGGTCTGGAAGCTGGTGAGCCCCCTTCAGCCTCCCAAGTAGCTGGGATCGGTTTACAGGAGGGTTGTTTACCACACCTGACAAGGTCTTCCTTCTCCTGGGCCAGGGTTTAGCTCAGTGGTGCCGCTGTCTGCTGTTCAGTACCCGGTACCAAAAAAAAATTCTTTTTTTTTTTCCTAATTTCCATTGCAGTTGGTTTCTCTCAGCCCAGAATTTCTACCACACTCCTAGCACGTTCTTAATGTGAAAGGAAAACTCAATGATCTCCATGGGCGTTTTTATTTTGCGGTCCTGGCATTGAACCCAGGTTTTGTGTGGGGAGGGGGCGCCCCTGAGCTGCAGAAAGGCCCTTAGGTCCCAGGGCTGGGTCAGTTGGGTGTCCGCGTGCTGGTGAGGTATTTCGGCGCAAAGCCTGAACCCCTGAGAATCTTCCAGCCCCGACTCTCCCTTCCACCTGGCCCACAGGTGTCTGCAGACCACATCCTGGACGGCGCTGCCCTTCAGTTCTGCGCACGCAAGATCTCCGCTGTTTCCGGGGATGTTCGGAAAGCGCTTGATGTTTGCAGGTGAGTTACGGCCCCGGCTTCCTTGACCAAGAAGGGGAGAAAGTTCATCGTACTGTATAGCTCAAGCGAAGGGCTCTGGAGGCTTCCTTCTGCTGGTTTTGGGGCTCAGAAAGGAGGACTCACACCCCAGCAGGGAGCCCTGGCTTTCCACCGTGCTAATGTGTCTGAGACATCACCAGTCCATTACCTACAGGGGAGAAACAAATGTGATGTTGCTGGCACTCCCCGTGGTGATTCTAGATTGGTTAATTACATTTGTATTAAAAGACTGCTCTGCTTTTCCATTAGCCGGGCTCAAGCAGGTTTATTTATGGAGCTGAACCATCCCTGCCTTGGGACTCTCTTCCTCTTCCCTTCCTTTGGTGGGCGCCCCTTCTCCCCCGGTTGGTGGTCCCCCCAGCTCTCCCAGACCCCTCCCTCCTGCTGAGGAGTCCCGGAGCCTAGTGATGGAACTTCTCCCTCCCAGGAGGGACCAGGCCCCATTAAGACGGCGGCGCTGGCTGTGCCACGCCTTCCCCCCTCTTCCGGCTCCCTGTGGGCTGCGCTTCGCACTTCGGGAGACAGCAGGAGAGGGAGCTCTCCCTGTTGCTAGATGGCGCGAACCTGACTTTGAGTTCCCCTCGTCAGCAAATCAGCAAAGTCAAGCAACAGCCCCGAGCAGGGCCACCACCCACAGATGCTGCCAGTGACCTGCACCACAGACCCTTGCTCCTCCTGCCATTGGTCCCCGTCCCGCCATTCCTGGCTCATGGAGAGTGACCTACTTGGCTCGAGGAGGAAACCATGGAGTGTTGAAGTTTCCCAAATCCCTGGCCCATGAATTATTTCAAGGCAATTAAGTCCCCTTTAGCTGAGACATAACCCAGTTTTCTTTGGAGGCTTTACATTTTTAAAACATGCTGTTTTTAAGTAAATATGCCTGCTTTTGAGCTTGGTGGTTTGGTGTGGGTTTGGTTTGGCTCAGACTAAATTAATTTTTAAACTTTTTTTATAGAAGAGCAATTGAAATTGTAGAGTCGGATGTCAAAAGCCAGACTATCCTCAAACCACTGTCTGAATGTAAGTATTTATCTCTTTCCTGTCTTCTTTTTGTTTGTTTGAGATGGGGTCTTGCTGTGTAGTTCGTGCTGGCTTTGACCTCCCAGTGATCCTCCTGCCTCAGCCTCTCCGGTTCTGGGATTACAGGCTGCGTCACCACCTCGGCCCTGTCTTCGTGATTGGAAGTTTAACTTTTCTGAGGGAGGAGGTAGAAAGATTAAGTGGACATAAATGTAATCAAATTCACGCTCAACTTTTGTTTGTTTTTTGTTACTGGGGATTGAACTCAGGAAGGACCTTGCACTTGCCAAGCAGATGGAGGCACCACTGAGCTAAATCCCCAGCTCAAATCTTATTTTCTTTTTCTTTTTGGTACCAGGGATCAAACTCGGGACCTTGCGCTTGCAAGGCAGCCGGTGGAACCACTGAGCTAAATTCCGGGCCCCTCAAATCTTATTTTAATCTTCCCTACCCATACCATGATCCTTGCCTGATTAGACCTAGTCCCCTTAAAGAAAAGATGAGGGGCCAGGGATTAGCTCAGTGGTACCATCGCCTACCTCACAAGTGCAAGGACCCAAGTTTGATCCCTGGTACAAAAAAAAAAAATAGATGAGGCTAAAGTTCTTTCCTAGCTGTAGGAATGAAAACTAGAGAGTGGTTGGATTGGCCTCCTTAGATGTTTTTGTTGAGTACACTTTTATCAGATGGTGAAAGCTCTGATACATACGAGACAAGGGAAAGAATTTTTGAGCTGACTGGGACATCTTAAGCCTTCCAGCCAGCCTGGAAGGACGGAGGGACGAGAGCATGTGCTCTGGTAAGCTGAGGGCTATCGTAGATGGCAAAGTTAGCTCTCCTTTCCCTTCCGGCTGTGCTCTCATCTGTGGCGGATGTGAAACGGCCTAGCTCTGTGTCTCATCAGGGTTTAATATCCAGTATTAATCTTTAGAAACAGCCGTCTGGCCTCATCGTCTCTGCCGTCGTTTCCACACTGGTTGGGAGCTGATAAAATTGTCTCTGGCATTCCACATCTGTATGAAACACTCTCCCCGCCCCACACCCCGTCCGTTTGTTAAAGGGAGATGAAACATTTCAGAAATAGCCAGAGTCAGTGTTTTGGGGTGAGGGGAGGCGGTGCGTGCCGAGGTGTGGGTGTAGACCCCGGTCTCCCCTTGCCCTTCAAGTGGACCCCTTTCCCCTGCTGTCTCCTGGCTGTGACACTTAGCTCGTCGTCTGGTCCGTGCCCTCTGACCCACACAGTGAGTTGCTGGGCGGCTCCTCTTGGGTTCTGGTGCCCACGAGGTTGGCTTTTAATGGCTCCATAAGGGAGTGAGCTTTCTAACGCATGGCCAGTCCCCACATCAAAGAGAGATCGTCCCCAGTCGCTGGTGTGTGGAGGGGACCGGGCCACTGGGTAGGGAGTGAGCGCAAGTCTCATTCCTTTCGGTGTTGGGTTCTGTCTGTCACTTGGTCATCCTGGTCACGGTACCGGAACCGGAACAGAAGCCAGGTGCTGTGGGCCGACAGGAAGTGGCTTCGGGCGCAGGTTGCTCTGACCCGCGGGTCGCATGCCCCGGACAGTGAGGCCACGTCTCCTGCAGCTTCCTGGCAGGCTCCCAGCCTCCGTCCCTGGAGTGGGTGTTGTCTGCCCGCGTATCCGGTGACATATTCTCAAGTGTTGCTATCCCAGCTCCACTCGGGCAAGCGAAGCAAACCTCTGAGCTCAGTCACTGGGAGCCGTGTGGGTGGGGAGGGGTGGGCTTGCGTTGCATTCAGACACTGGGTCACTTTCCACCCGTGCTTCCCCTTCCTCCCAGGGCTCGGGCAGCACCCGGCTTCCAGGCCTGTTAGTCTACACCGCTAAGACATTAGGAACGTGCAAGGCAGCAAACCTTTTTTATTTTGAGACAGGGTCTCCCTGTGCATCCCAGGCTGGCCTCAAACTCATAGCGATCCTCCTGCCTCAGCCTTCCCAGTGCTGGGATGACAGGCGTGCGCCTTCACGCTTGGCTCTTTGTCCCACGTTATTTTGGCCTCTCCCTGAGCTGCTCCTCACAGGTGCCCCTCTGCACCTTATCATCTGACCACACTTGGGTCTCCTGCCATGTACCTGCCTGACCACTGTGGGGCCCTGAGTTCGATTCCTGACACCAAAGAAGTAAAAGAAAATCAAAATCTAACAGAGTTTGTCTTACTCACCGCCCAGGTAAACCGGCCTCCGAGTCTTGGGTTCCCACACGCGTGGGTCTCGCTCACATCGCCCGTGTGATCTCCGAAGTGGACGGGAGCAGGGTGACTCTGGGCAGCGTGGGCGCCCAGGACTCCTTCCCTCTGCAGCAGAAGGTCTTGGTCTGCTCTTTGCTGCTCTTGACCAGGCAGCTGAAGGTCAGAGAGGTCACGCTGGGGAAGGTGAGCCGTCTCCGCAGGGGAGGAGCCGTGACTTTTCCAAAAGGCCTGTGGTGCCCAGTGGGTAGGAATTGCAGACGGGGTCCTGACGGTGACAGTCCGTAGCAGCACCGTGCAAAAGACAGCACTCACACCCCGAGTCGTGGTTAAGACTGACCACGAACCAGCTTCCTGTCCCCTGCTAGTCTCTGCCTCTCCTTGTGACACACTGCATAGAACCGCTTCCCCTGCCACAGTGCAGGTCTGCGGAAAGGGGGAACAGATAGGATGCTCGGATATGTCTCTTGCAAATCCAGACTCGCTTTTTTAAAAGATTGTGAACCCGTGAGATGTGACTTTTAAGCAGCGCTTGTTCTGTTTCCTCCCAGTTGTACGAAGCCTACAGTAGCGTCTGTCGCAAACAGCAGGTGGCAGCCGTGGACCAGTCCGAGTGCTTGTCACTCTCAGGGCTCTTGGAGTCCAGGGGCATCGTAGGATTAAAGAAAAACAAGGAAACCCGCTTCACAAAGGTGTGACTGACTACCTGCTCCTCTGGTCTTTTGTTAAAGTGCAGATTGAAAAATGACTGCGGTTAAACCGGGCACAGTGGCACAGGCCCGGAATCCCAGCACTCCTGGGCTGGGTGCGGGAGGGTCACAAAGGTGAATTCTGCCTGGGCAACTTAGCAAGACCCTGTGTCAAAACTGAAATTAAGAAATGAAAGGGGGCTGGTTACGTAGCGCGGCGGTGGCGGCCCTACCGCACGTGTGCCCCCGGCAGGCTGTTCGCTTCACTGAAACCTCTAAAAGGTGCGCCATCACGGCCCTAGGTGTTCTCCCAGGACCGCAGTCAACCAGTAAAATAAAAAACAAAGAGCCCAATTAGGTAAGCGATTTGTTTTCTGTTAGGAGGCCTTGAGGTGTGAGGGACAGTGACAGGAGTATGTCGGTGTAATTGCGACTTTGTTTTCTCAGTTCTGCACCGTGAAAAATCCACTTCTCTTTCCAGGTGTCTTTGAAGATCGAAGAGAAAGAAATAGAGCATGCTCTGAAAGACAAGGCTTTAATTGGAAATATCCTAGCTACTGGATTGCCTTAAATTCTTCTCTGTTCCTACCTGAAAGTACTCAGCGGAGTCTTCCTTTTAATACTTTACACTCTTGGGTCTGAAAACGAATACGGCCTTTTTTACTTGAAGCCAATGAATTTTAATCACAAGTAGTAGTGCAGAGTAATATCTTTAGACCTTATTATTTTTACCCATAAAAATGTAATAGATCCTGGGCCGGGTGTGGTAGCGCATGCCTGTCATCCCAGCACTCGGGAGGCTGAGGCAGGAGGATCGCTGTGAGTTCAAGACCAGCCTGGGCGACACAG